GAGAGCCGGCCGCGCGGGCACCCAGGGGCGCCGCAGGGAGCGCGGAGAGGTCCAGGGCACCGGCAGGCAAGGGCCGGCTTGGCACACACAACAGGAAAGAAAATTTATTTTTCTCAGAGAAGATGGAAGGAGGAAAGATCGAACGCTGTTCTAAACGGGTGCTAAATTCTTTCCTTCCGTCGGCTTCAAACCACCAGCCTCCCTGGAGGATCAGACCTCTTACGCCTCCGGGAAAGTCCGTTTCCAGGCCACTCTGACTGCAGGTCTGCTGGCGAGGGGCCCGGCCAGCTCTCCAAAATGCGGGGCTCGGCAGCCCACCGGTCAGAGCAGCGGAAGAGGGGCTGCCCTTCCAGAAAAAGGGGCTTTCTCAGGATCAGAGGTGCCTGGGACCCCCTCCCTCTGCCGGGCAGGGCGGGGACCTGGCAGGGTGGGTGGCTGGGTCTCCTCCTTTTCCGCAGGTGGATGGCAGCTCGGTCCGGGTTTTCTGCAACAAGAACCTGCCTGCAGCGCCCCCGCCCCTTGGGGGGGCTCTTAAAAGGGCAATGTCAGAAGCAGAGGCGTCAGCCCCACCAGAACTCCCCCCTGGAGACGCAGGGTTGGCCCCTCCTTCTGTGTGCATCTGGGAGGAGCTTTGGGGGAACCCCACGCTGGGAGGTGGGGTGGGGGTGGAGCAGGCCCCTCTCCTGGCACAGGCTGTGACATGCAGCACATTTCTCTGGGGCCCATCCCAACTCTGCCAGTCAGGCTCTTCCTGGGAGAGCAGCCAGGGAGGTTTGGGGGTGGGAGGAGAGGAGGCTGTCTGGGGACCCTGGGTAAACCAGAAAACCTTCTGGGAAGGAAAAGCGGGACAGGTCACAGGGAAAGTTCCCAGGAGTGATTCCACCCCTGGGGCGTGGTTGGCTCCTTGGGGGCTAACTGACCCTCCCAACAGATGGTGAGATGGTGAGCGCTGGCAGGCTCCTTGGGCTCCTGTTTGGTCCCACACGTTGCCCTCTTTAGCATTTCTTTCTGGAAGTCTGTCTCCTGGTTGTCTGTGTCTCTTGGTAGAGGCCTGTGTCTCCTCTCTGGCCTAAAGCACCCAGACCTGCATTTTGAGCCCTGAATTCCTGGGTGTGGGAACCAAGGATTGGTGAGGGACCCAGGGCTGTGACTCACTCCACTCAGCCTGTGGGGGTTGTTTGCTAACTTAGGTAGCTTGGGCAGCTGGGGTTCGAGATGGGGCAGGTCAAGGTGCCAGGGATGAGGGTATCAGCTATGGATTGCGGAGGCAACTGCAGGGTGGAGTCCAGGTTATCTGGGCCCAGTCCCAAGTGCTCAGCTTCCAGGCCAGCCATTCCTAAGCAAGGCTTGCATCAGCTCATCCCATTGCTGCAGGGAAGCAAAGAGTTGGGTTTTCAGCTCACACTGGAGGAAGGCAGGCCCCACCTTCCCCTAGGACTGTGAGTTCTTTGAGAGCAAGGACTGTGTCCCATTCTTTCTGTAACCCATGCCCGTAATGGTGCCTGACACGGGGTCAGCACTGTGTAAATGAGAATGTGTGCCCATGTGCTCACCAGCCTGTGTTCTGGTGATGACCTGCCGGGAAGGACCTCAGCTGCAGGGTCATCCTTTCCTTCACAACTTTGGCTGTTTTTCTCCTCTGGCTTCTGGAAGGGGGGATAGACTTATCTACTAACATCCTAGTTGGTCCACGCAACAACTCTATTTCGAGCTTCCATGCATTCCTTTCTGCTAGGCAGGCTCCCAGGCCAGTCCACACCCTCACCCAGCCACAGGGCAGGTAGGTGGTTGGCAAGGAGGAAGTGGGCTGCCAACAGCACAGGGCAGAAGGCACTCTGCGTAAAACAGCAGGGAGTTCCAGGTGCAAGCAGCTCCAGAAAACTGGTCAGGTGAGAAGGTAGTCAGTGCAGGGAAGCCAAGAGCTGGGCCCAGGTGTCCATGGGCTCAGGGCCGTGGCTTCTGCCCATGGTGGAAGGTCACAAGCCCCAGGTGCTGAAGGGAGTAGGAGTGGGGAGCAGAGTGGGCAGCTGCAGTGACCTGTGTGGCTAGATGGGGGTGCTCAAGGCCTTCTGAGTTTCCAACTCCAAAGCCCAATAGGTTTTTTGAACAGGAGAGCTGTGTGGTAGTGAGCAAATCCAGCCTCCTGCTTCTGTGTAAACTGCCTTTCTCCAGACCAAGGAGCTGAGGCTCCAGTAATAACTTCTGGTCCTTCTAAGTGGGAGCAGCTTGCTCTTCTATCCCCTGGCCCTGGCTTTATCCCAGAGCTGAGGGCAATGTGCTACAGTAGAGGCGGGCTGACTGAGCCTGCCTGTGGCAAGAGAGCCACTGCAATCAGTCACCCTTCTCAGTGCCCAATTTTACAGGGTTTACAGCAGTAAGATTAATAGGATCAGCCCCAAGTTCCTGGTGGAAAACCAAGCACACAGCCGCTTTCCTAGATGCCAAGCTCCAGCAGGCTCAGGGAAGTTGCTGCTTAGGGACTAAGGACGCTGAGATGATATAAAGGATCCTAAGTGACATCCAGTTCAGAGTCCTCTCATCTTCAAGCACCAGGACTCCTGGCTTCCCCTGGCCCTGTCCCATCTCCATCACCCACATGTACTGTCTTCCATATGAAGGAAGAGGTATAATCACGTCCCCACCCTCCCTTCTGGGACCGTCACAAAGATAAAAGAGATCATGTATAGGAAGTATTTTAGGCTCCCAGGAAAGCAGCACTAAATGAACAAGAGGTGTTATTAAGGTAAAGTGTTTGGAGATTGCAGATGAAAGGCAGCAGGTAAATAAAGAGCCTAAACATCACCCTCCCCAGAGCAAGGGTGGACTGGCTATCTGGCCACAGTGGGAGCTTCGGAGAAGGGATTAAACCTGCTCCACCACTCCCCATCCTGCTGACTACTGCCATCCTTTGGAGTTACAGTGACAGTGACAAGCTGTTCTGCACTTGGTTTGCCATTTTGGAATGACTGCAAAGAGAAGCAGCTGTTAGTAAGGCCCTGCCTCGTGCTCTTGAATCTAGGGCCTCTTTTGGATTAAATATAGTCTCATCTCCCCTGAGGCATAACAGCCTCCCTCCCTTTCCACAGAGCCCTTTCTGGAGAACAGAAATGCTATGAGGCTTTTTATATCAATTGGTCTCTAAGTTAGTCCCACTTAATTGCTCTTAAACAGGAGATTTATAAAAGAGATCCTGGTCATGGTCTTACAAGCTTGTGTGACCAAGACTCAAAGTCTTCCCTCCCTCCTTGAGCCTTTACTAAATCTACCTCTGCCTCCACCTACCTTCTCAAAGGCTCTCTGACTTGCTAAATGGAACAACTTTATTTAGAAGGAAAAGCAAAAGTATGGTTCCAGGGAGAGCTGCGAGGCAGGGTTAGAGCCCCAGGCAGCACACTGCGGAAGAGTCCTAGCCTTCCGCCAGGGCCCTTCGTTACACGGTTTTGTTAGTCCTCGGTGACTGGATCACAGGCCTACGAGAACAGACAGGGACAGTGCGCTGCGCGTGGCAGATGGTTCCCGTTTTAGCAATGCAGTGGGACTGCGCGGCGATGAGTGTGTCTGGCTTCCCCGCCCTGGGGCAGGCTCTGGGATGCCAGCTGACAGAGCTGGGAGGAAGGAATGTTCAGGACGTGGTGACCTCCATGTTCTGCAGCTGGCTCTCCAGGGCGCCATCGCTCACCGCTCCCTTCTTTTTGCTGCCCTCATGCTGCTGCTTCTGCTTCTTGGATGGCTCCTGGTCAATGGGTGCGGGCTTCACAAAGGGAATCAGCTCTTGGAGACCTGGAAGGGAACAGCCGACCGAGTAACCTACCGTTTCTCAGGAGTCAGAGCCCGTGGAACTCGGGGTGAGTGCACAAAAGGGCACCCACAATGGGCACTTGTTTCATTCATCCTTTCCTCCCCCTGCCTGGATTTTAGCTGCATTTCCATAGAATATCATGCCTGTACCGGCTACCTTCTCAGCTCTGCCCCTGCAGTGCCCAGCACTGGGAGACAGGCAGAGTTTCTGGGGACTGTGTGTGAACAAGAAAACTGGGTTCACTCTGAAAGGGGCCTGCTATTCGGAAATGTGAAGACAGAGAAGGAGAGGAGGATAGGCCAGGCTGGGCCTCACCTGGCGGCATAAATTCCTGCAACTTCTTGGGCACGATGATGCCCTTCTCTGTCTGGTAGTTCTCCAGGATGGCGCAGATGGTGCGTGTAGTGGCGCACATGGTAGCATTGAGCATGTGGACGAACTCCACCTGTGCAGAGAGCAGTTCAACTCAACCCTCAGCTCGTCTAAGCGATGACCAGGAGCCATCACCCGGCCAGACTCCCCACAGCAACTAACCAATTCAGACTCATGACTTCTACCCATTACTGAGCCCTTTCTAAACCTGAGTTCTGTTTGGTATTTACTGCCTCTCAGATAACTCCAGGAAGATTCCTCATGTCTCCATGAGTGACAAGAGGCAGGTCTCAGTATTTTGAGGAGAGTTGGGCCTTTTGAGGGAAACAGAAAACACGACCACAGGGGCCTCTCCTTTTGATCCTTTTCAAGTCCCTGACTTGGAAAAGTAGGGCCTGGAAATTGGGTTTGAAGAGATAAGCTTACAACCCAAACCTCCTTGGGTGAGAAGTGGGGAGACACTGCCTCCAACTTGTTCTGGGTAGACAAGTGAGGATCATTCTTTATCTGGAGTGACAGAAAACAAAGCCCAAAAGAGAAAAACTAGAATGACTTTGTAGAATGGGGCTAGATCAGGTTTCTATCTAAAAGGACTCAGTCCTGACTCGGTAGAAGTCATTTTCAGGTTCCCTTTTTAATCTAGATGGAAAAGCTCAGGTTCTCCCACGATGCTGGGAAACACGTGCCCTGAGGGCCGAGAAACAAGGCCGATCCCCTCTGCACCGGGGGCCCTGTGCCCGCCTCCCACGCCGCTACCTTGTCCATCATCTTCTTGGTTTGCCCGTATCTGATTCGGAGCCGGCGGGCCTGATAGTCTGTGCAGTTGGAACAGGAGACCAACTCGCGGAAGGCTCCCGAGCCCGGAAACCAGGCCTCCAGGTCAAGCTTCTTACTGGCAGCGTGATTCAAAGAACCTGTAAGGAAACACCCCTAGAATTCATGAAGGAGGGATGGTATTTCAGAAGGCTAACCTTTTAGCAAACCCGAAGAATTCTTTAATTCACATCCTATCCGCAGAAGTAAAATCACGCCCAGATATTCTTATCAGCAAACACTCCCAAGGGAAAAGAGTGTGATATTTTAATTAACGTGGGCCATTAACTGGATTGTGAGCTATTGCTTTGTGTGGTGTGGGTACTGTTTGTGGGATGCAAGAGAGGGAGGCCGATACCTGAGACAATATTCACGATGTGGTACGGGATCCCCAAAGCCTGGTAGAACTCCTCTGCAGTGGTGATCATCTCTTCAAACATCTCCCAGGACTTGTTGTCATGTGGCGATGAGTAGACAAACTGTTCAATCTGCAAAGAGGGACCCAAGGAGACAGCGACAATGGGACAGGGTGAAAAACTAAAGGACCCAAGTGGGAGATATTCTTGCAATGAAGACCTGTTCCTATACCACTGGGAGTCGGGCGAGGCTGGGGCCCCCAGCTAGAGAGGTGCTGCACTGCACTGGGTGTGCAGCAAGAACACGTGTTTCTGTAGAGCTTACTGCACACATGCCGGGTGCTGTTCTAAGCACTTCTGATGTTAACTAGTTAAATCCTCATAGTGGGCCTAATGAAGTGGGTACTATTATTACCCTCCTTTTACAGGGAGGAAACTGAGCACAGAGTGGTTAAGCAACTTGTCCCAGGTGACACAGCTGGTAGGTGATGGAGTTGGCATTTGGACTCAGGCAGCCTGGAACTGGAGTCTGTGCTGGCAGTCACTCCACTATGTGCTGCTCAGGCCCTTCCCAGAAACACAGACGCAGGCAATGGGAGGCAAGACTGGAGCCAGGATGCGCTTGAGCGACACAGCTCCTGTCTCTCCTCTAACTACCCTGGACAGATAGATAGAAGGGTCCTACTCCTCACCCTGACTTCTCTACTTACCTTCTCAAACTGATGGACTCGAAAGATGCCTCGGGTATCACGGCCATGGGAGCCCACCTCCTGGCGAAAGCAGGTGGACAGGCCAGCATACTTGATGGGCAAATCCTCTGGCCGTAGCCACTCATCCCGGTGGAGGGCAGCAATGGGCTGCTCGGAGGTAGCAATCAGGTATTTCTCATCATAGGAGTTGTCATCAGACCTTTCACTGCCTTTGCCAATCACCTGATGGAGGTTAAGAGTGAGGGAGGTAGACCTCAGCTAGAGCAGAAACCACAGGGAAGATACAAGCGATGGGACAGGGCGAAGTTTCTTTAATCCCCGCCTGGGAGTGAGCAGGGGACACTAAAGACAAGGGAGGGAATGGGTCAGTCCCAAATGAGGTCTCTAATAGAATTCAAAGAAAAGCAAATTAAAAGGAGATAAAAAATTCTGATACTTTTTACTTATGATGCAGGCGTACAAGAAAACCTGAGCTGATAGCAATATAACGTAATCCACTCAACAAATGTTCGTGAGGCATTTACTACAGGCCAAGTCCTTTAGGCCAATGCTGGACAAAAGGAGACATGGTCTCTGCTTTCTTGGTGCTTATGGGCTAGCCTAGAGGTTATAATCCTCAATCACTCTGGTGTTCAGTTGATTAGAATGATCTTCTGAACCTCGACTTGAACCCTCTGGTTCTCCCTGAGATGGTCCAGGGTTGAGAGGAGCCACAAACTAGAGGACACATCTATCCCAAGGAATGTATGTCTTGCCCTATGGAAGCTTCCAGTCTGGGCTCAGGAGGAGGACGGCACGGTAAGACCGGCCACTTCTATAATGTCCTTTTGTCCAGCCACTCAATACATGTGCCTCTTCTCTAGGCTCATAATGTTAACGCATGCTCACTTAGGTACATGATACAGATTACCTGGGGGAAAGATCAAACAGGCCCTAGGTCTGCACTGTTCAATATGGTAGCCACTGGCCATGTATAGCTATTTAAATTAAAATTTAAAAAAATTAAAATTAAAAATTTACATTTCAGGTACTCAACAGCCACAGATATAGACTATTTCCATCATCGCAGGAAGTTCTACTGGACAGTGCTGCTCCAGTATCTTTGAGGTTAAATTTCCCAATGGAAGAAGTCCTTCTGCCGCAGTGCCCAACTACTCACCTTGTAAAGTTCCTCATCAAACTGGCTGAGCTGTGCCACCTCCTGCATGACCTCCTTCCTCATGAAAAACGGGGTGTAAATGGGAATGTAGCCCCGACTTCCCAAGGTGCGAAGGGCATACTGGATGAGTGCCTGTTCCAGGAACACCAGAGGCCCCTAAAGGAGCAGAGACACAGCAGGGGTGATTGGGCTCTGTCGCTGTCATGTTCAGTTGCTAGAATTTGCACTCAGAGGCAAACTGTGTGGGGGTAGAATATGACTACCCAAGGGCTCACAGGAGGCCCCCTCAGGGCTCACCCACCAGAGCATGGGCCACAGAACCCCTCATTGTTACCTGCTCCCCAATATCATCTCCATGTGCTGTAAATGTTCATTGTTAATTATCCTATACCCACCAACAAAGAAGTATGTGTTTCTCTGTTTTTATTCACTCCCAGAGATTTCACCGCTTTGCTTTCTCCCACCTCCCACCAGTGGATTTCATGTAACTCCCCCCACCCCTTACGTCTCCTTTGATTCTAATGTATAAAATAAGCTACAAAAGTGCCATTCTCCAGAGCATTTTTTCAGTTTGGTTCAAATAAAAATTCTCTACAGGTTTGGAGGTTTCTTACGTTGACGGCACTTATCACAGTGGCTTTTGACTCTGTCACTTGTCTAACTGTCCAATTACACTGAGCTCCTCAAAGGAGAGACTGTTCTGATTCAGTCAGCAAAACATGTATTCACTGCGGGGCATCATGCGGTAGCTTTTGTTCTGAGCACCCCTGATAGCACGCTCCTGCCTTAGAAAGAGAACTGTATCTAATTGCCAATAAGCCTATAGTAGAAAGGGGAGCACATGTGGTGGATTTATGGGCCTCCTTAAGTAAGTTATGTTTTCTGCACAGTATTTTTAAAAGTCCTTCTTTATAATCCCATCCCCACTGGCTCCCAACTCTCACCTTCAGGAAATACCCTCGACTCCCAGCCACCACGACTCCCTTTTCGCCTTCAAAGCCATCGACCATCACCACCAGGTCCACGTGTGAGTACTTCTTCCTGACCGTGCAATCACCCCAAATCCTCTCTACTTTGTTGTCTGCATCCTAAGGAAGCAAGACCAGGAGAGAAAGATACACAACCTCTGAATTCCACCTCTACCTTTCCAAACCCTGTTCTAAGAACAACCTAAAGCTTAGTGAAGCCACATGAGGTTTTAAACGGTCATCATGTCCAGAGACCAGAGAAGTGAATTTGCTAGAGAATTTGTGATCAATAGAGAAATAATCATTTTTAGATTCCTAGAAGCGAATCTAGCCATGAAACTGAAATCATGATTTTCCAAAAGATGTCACATTGTGTGTTTTTTGTTTGTGGCTTTTTTTTTTACCCTTTTAAATGCCCCGTACTACGACACCTCTACCCAGACAATCAGCATTGCCTGGGGTACAGAGGAGAATGTAGATTATTTTTTTTCCAGGCTCTCATTGGTCCCAGGACCACATGAGGGTGGGGTGAGGGCCCCGACCTCCAGAGTCTGCCACGCCAGCCTGCAGTGAGTTTAACATTCTGTTCACCAGGGAATGAATGAAAGAGGCACAGATGGGCCCTGCTCTGGCTGGGGTGTCAGGGAACAAAGACTGGGCTCAGAGCAGCTTTGTGTTGGGGAAGCTCCCACTCAGCAGGAAACTTTTATCATGCAGATTCCCCTTCAACCTGCAGCTTCTCAGCAGGGTGTGGGTGAGGGGCGAGGTTGTTTTAGCAGATCCCTCCCACAAGACTGGCTGCTACCACGGGCAACAGCAGAGGACAGCAGCCCGATTTAGAAGAGATCTGTGCGCCAGGAGTCTCCTACCTGCGGTCTCCGCCACTTCCCAATCAGGCAAGGATCTGACGCTTTCAATTCTCAATTGGAGGGCAGAGTGAGGACACAAAGGGCCTGCTTCTGATACAAAGCCCATTACACAGAGTGTCAGTGTTTCCTTGTCCTTCCCAGAGGAGCGCCCCACGACTCACCTCGTCGTTACTGATGGGCACAGAGGGATGCAGGAGGTTCCCGATCTCTCGGAGGTTCTCAAAGCGCTCTGACTCCAGCTTTACCCGCTCGGCATCACACTTTAGGATGGCTTCGTCGATGAGCAGTCGGAGTTTTTTGATCTGTGACACTTTCAGTTTCTGTGGACAAACAGGCCAGAGCAAGTCAAGTACAGAGCAGGAAAAAGATTCTGTCGCCCTAACCCCGAGGTGCTCCGATGACAACCCTTGTGACAGCCTTTTAAAAACTGACAATGAAGGCTTTCAAAGCGACGCTGCCCTGACAAATCCACTGGCATTTCCTTTTGGGGTGCCTAAGGCAGAGATGGATCGATTCTGGCCACTCTGCATGTTCCTATATACCTTGGCAATTTTAATATGTAGCTCTTTTTGGAGCTCTTGCTTCCTGATTAAACCAATTTAGCATTCTATTACTACTGCACTTAACTGTTCTCTAGGGAGATTATACATTTATTAGGAGCAAGAGGCCTGTCTTAAGTTAATTTTGTATTCCTATTGCAGGTGTTTCAAACTGTCCTGATTTTTTATGGGGAGCCCTCAGCAGGTAGGGCTGGACAGGAAGAGCACCCCCAACCCAGCCTTCAAGCGCAACACTACTTTTTTTGTGCTTATGCTCTTACTATGCTTTTGTGTTACGGGTTTTAAGAAAGCGTTTAGTGACTAAAAACTTGAAAATTACTGCTCCAGGCCCATTATATAGTGAGTATTTACTGAATTATAGTAAACTGAAAAATTCTGATTTTGTGAAAATAGACTAATATAAGCTAAACACAGTTCAGTCCCGTTTTTCTCTTCTTCCTACCCTTGACTGTTCCACTCCATCTGTCTCCAGGGACATGTCCCAGCGGCAAAAATTCAAGGATGCCCCAATGCTGTGTGGAACAGAGTGTCAGCAAGCCCCTGTCCAGGAGGAAAGTTAAGATAAAAGAACAGAAATCCCAACCTAGAAATGGACAGTAACTTACAGCTAATATGTCTGGGGTGAGGTTGTCGAGATTTAACACACTCTCTGGAATAGACTCATCGTCTTCCACCGGCTCTTTTTTCTGCAGGAAACAAACAAACAACACTATTAAATAAATAAAAATTCTGACATCGCTTTATAAGTGCACACCAAATGAATATCATATAAACTAATCACAGAACTTCCTACATAACTCTCTAAAAAAGGCAACACCTGAGAGAAACAGTAAATTGGAAATGAGGGGGGAAAAAGTTTCAAGTCTCTGTTTTGCCGCTTTCTAGCTTTTTGTAATCCTCTCCCAAGTATATGTTTTCCACTGATTCCAGAGAGAGAGGAAGGGAGGAGAGGGAGCGAGACATCGCTGCCAGAGAGAAACATCGATCGGCTGCCTCCCACACACGCCCCAACAGGGAATAGAGCCTGAGACCCTATGAAAAAAGTTTCGCTGTCACTAACAGTGCGTGTGCTCCCAGAACACACAGGCAGAATACATGGGAATTGACATGATTATGGGACCTCTGGCATGGAAATGATTAAGCAGCACGGCTCCCATAGGAAAAACACCAGTGTGATGATCTATATCAACTGCTACAGTCCGCCACAAGCTGAATGTGAAAAGAGGGAAGCGGACCAGCAGTAAGTGTAACTTGCTCGAATCCCAGGGGAATCTCTTCGTTATGTTCTTTACTGGTTCAGGTTCCTAATTTTTAATTTTTTGGTTCAGTTTAGAGGTTTACAAGAAAAAAATGAGACAGACTATAGGATGCATTTAATGTCTTTTAAAAAATGATTAAGAGGTTAAAAGGGTGTATTTGAAGAGAGATAAAAACATGTACTATTCTGGGTTAACTAAGGAAGGTGGAACTGAAACTTAACATTCTTCAAGCATGGAAGCACTTTTTGGATGAAGGCCATCCATTGTTACTCGCAATTGGTAAATAACTACAATGTTCCAGGCATTGTGCCAGGTTCTCCCCATTTAAAAAATTTCATTCTCATAATTCTGTTCTATAGGTGAATGTTAGTATTGTCATTTCAGATGAGAAAACTGAGGCTCAGAGGTTAACCTGCCTCAAGTCACACAAGCCAATAGTCCAGGACTTGGAGTCTCTATCCGTGCTCTTTACATAAAACAGCTCGAATAGCCTGAACAAAGGACCTGAAGTCTACCATAGGAAAGTCTTCCTGGCACTGGAGGTCGAACTCAAGAAATAACGGGGAAAAATTACAGGTGGAATTTATATTCTTATTGTAAGAACAGAATAAACAATGAATGACTAGTGTGGCAAGACTTTCACCTTGCTATAGGCTGAATGTTGAAAGCCAACAAATTCCTACATTGAAACCTACCCCTCAGTGTGATGGCATTTGGAGGTGCAGTCTTTCAGAGGTGACTAGGTGAGGAGGCTACCTCATAAGACACCCCACAGAGCTCCCTGGCTCCATCTGCCATGTAAGGACACAGCAAGGAGAGTGTCTATGAGCCAGGGAGTGGGCCCTCACCAGACACCAAATCTGCTCGTGCCTTGATCATGGACTTCCCAGCCTCCAGAACTGTAAAAAATAAATTCCTGTTGTTTATCAGCCACTGGCTCTGTGGCAGCAAAACAGACTAAGACCTGAATAGGGAAGATGGATTCACCCACTTAGCTCCCTCCCTGTCATCCTTCCTTTCTTTTTAAAATAACCCCCCCACTTTGGTAAGAAGTCTGGTATCTCATAGAACCAGGCACTAAACTAGAAATTATGTATTAACTGAGAATAAGATGAAATACCTCCACTCTCAAGGCTGTTAGTTCTCTTACCTTCATTTTCTCCCCAACTGTCTTGCTGCATAGGTTCTTCAGCTTGTTCAAGTTGTCTGCTCGAAATCTGCCTGAAGAGTAAAGAACCCGAGAATGTTCTAACAATACGCATATAATTAAGATTCCTCAGTCTCCAAATCATGGCTCCTCAGGACTGATCTCACAGAGCATAACAAGGCTAGACCACAGAGCACGGGCATATGTGGGAGTGGCAGATCAAGCTAGGAAGGAATGGGAGGCTTTGTAAATTGTGTTAAGAAATTTGGCTTTTTATGCTTTAGAGCTACACTGTCCAGCATGGTAGCCACTAGCCACATGTGGCTACTGAGCATTTGAAATTTGGCTAGCCCAAACTGAAATGTGCTGTAAGTGTAAAAATATACATGCTAGATTTTGAGGGCCTGTAAAAGAGAAAAAGAATGTAAAATATCTAAATAATTTTTTATATTGATTACATGTTAAAAATATAATTTTTGTATCTATGGGTTAATACAATATATTCCTAAAATTAATTTCATCTGTTTTTCTTTACATTTTTTAAGTGGCTACAAGAAAATTAATAATTATGCCTGTGGCTCACATTGTATTTCTATTAGACAGATTGAAGGTATGTATGGCACTGCAAGACTTAAGCCTGGAAGCCAAATGATTAGATTTTCATTCCAAAAAGATCACATGTCCTGGGTGTGGCCCAAGACTGGGTGAGACTGGGGTGAAACTAAAAGCAGTTAAGACTGTTATTCCAATGACAAGGGCCTGGGAAGGTGTTTACAGCCAAGGTTAAGAGGAAATAACTTCAATTTACAGGAAAAAGAAATTTCACTCAGAACAGCACTTCTTGGGGGGGGAGGGGGGATTCTGATAGCTAGCAGACTGCAAGACAGGAGGAAATCTAGAGGCATCGGAAGTAGTGGAGACAAATGCTTATGTGCCCAAAAGTGTCCTCAGTGTATTACTCTGAATTAAAAAGAAGCCACAGTATGAATACTTGGAGCTAGAAGAGCCGTGGTAAACTCTGTGGTGCTAGGACTCCACGTTTTGTCAGATTCCGTTGACAGCCCTAGTGGCACCTTGGAGGTCTACAGGCAGGCGAATAGGTATAGTTGTAATGGAGGGCCTGGTGAGGTTCGCAGTGTCCTTGGAGAACACGATGAGTTCTCAATGTGGCTCGGGGTTACAAGTCCTTGTTGCAGCCAATGACAGGAGAACCCCAACTTCTGATCTGAGGTTCAGATATAAAATAACTTTGATACAAGATCTGTCACAGTCCTTCGGCAGCAAGCGACTTGGGAAAAATCATTAACTCCCTTTGGCTGCAAAGGGAACTGGTAAGGGATGTCAAGTAGAAAAGATTCAAATCAATAAATGAGTTGAAAATAAGCGAAATAAACTGCTTTTCATACAGAAGGGCAAAGTGCCCTGAACACAGATGATATTCATGAATTCAAAAAAATCTTTGTCAAGCCCTTACCAAGGAGCTGGTGCAGTGCTAAGTACTGGGATTATATGTATACGTGTGTACATGTATATCCTGTATGTATATGTTAACCCAGGTACTGGGACATACAGATGCATAGACCACAGCCCTGTCCCTGAAGAACCCATTCCCTCACCATATATCCATTAATTAGGAAATGGATAAAACTCCTAAATGTGTACATTATACATAAGAGACGAGCTCACACATTCAAAGTCATTTAGTACAGAACAGTGAATGGATAACCAGATACAAAAATCTGATACTTCTGATTCAGTAAAACAGTGTCCAGTTTAGTTTTTTCCTTCCAATTAATTTAATTCCATTGCAACCCAAAACTTCAGATTCAGGTGGTAGGATCTCACTGTCATAAACTACCACATTAGAGTGACTAAGACATTAGGAGTCAGCAGACAACCAAAGTCAAACAAATACTTTCCTGGTACCCATAGCCTTCTAAGTTTAGGAAAATCAATGTTCCTCATAGAAAGCCACCACACTCTTGGACAGTGACTGCCTTTGCAGGGTGCTGTCATAAACTTGACTCTCAGCTGGTTGCAGACTTATTGCATCAGACAAAATTAATCACGTGTGCTTGACAGCATTCGGCCAATGGGTGACTACTCCAGTTAATCTAAGCAAAGGGTTCTATGGTTTTATTTTCAGTTTCAGGTTTTAGCCAAACTCAGCCAACGCCTTTTCCAGAAAAATTCCACAAAGCACAATTGCACAGCCTCAATAATTACAAGCTTTTTCTTGCCTCACCCCACCTGTCTCCCCATGTCTGACCTACCACGGAAAAGACTTTTCTCAATTTTTAAAGGTATGATCAACAAACCAGGGGCATGACTTTCCCCAAAGCTCCGGGGTCACTGCTTTTAGGCAGGAACGGCCTCCAAAGACTCCAAATACTTCCAATATGGGTGGAGTGAAACTATTACGTGGTAGATGTGACTCAGGCTGGAGCCTTTGGTCCTATCAAAATAGGAGACCACTCTGGCCTTGCTGAAGATGAGAAAAAGGCCAGAGGCGGCCAAAGATGAGTGTTAGGAAAAGGGAAACCTCCCGCCCTGGCTTTGCCCTGGCTACCCTTGCTGGGAGAAGCCTTGACAGCTCTTCATGCGCATGCGCCATGCTCCTTCCCAGACGGACCTGCGATCCGCACTGAGCACGCGTGGAAGGGACCTAGTACCAACCCGGCGGACGGAGACAGTGGGACCGTTCGGGCTACCCGAGCGTTTGCGGGGAAGGCGGGGGACCGGGAAAGCCTCCGAGCCAC